CATTTTAACTAGATAAAAAATTTGCATTGTTAAAAAAGTGAAAACTCTTTAATATTTGCCATATGTGGAATATATACGATGATAAAAATCTATCAAGTATTATATTCATAAATTCGTTTATATACTTAATATAATTTCAATATAAGATGAAACAATTCAAGAAATAAACTTATTTTTTCAATTAATTATGAAATTATGTACATATGTTATATATTATAAAATTTAAAAAATGATATTTTTATTTGTATTTTACATTACATACGTATTTCTATTTTATTCCCTATTTCTTATATTACTTATAATAGTTTAAATAAGTTTTTAAAATAACTTTAAAATAATTAAATAAGTTTAATTTAAAATAATTTAATGCTTTTAATTTAAGATACATATAAGTAAGATCATAATTGGGAAAAAGTTCTGGAAAATTGATGCATCTATTCAAAGTTTTCTATTGCTATCTATTTATCGGAGTCGAAGTCTACTAAGTGCATTTGAAAACTGTTAGGCCGAACCGATTAAGCGACATTTAAGTTCTGAGTGGTCGGCCGAGTATACGTACAGCAGCTCGACCACTTTCTCACTTTCTTCGCTCGCGCTCGTGAGGTCGACCGGCATTTCTTCAGGGACGCAGACGATGTACTGCCTTGAAAACATGCCGAGGGACCAGTCGACCCTCTTATCTTAACACGTTCACTCTTGTCTTCCTTCATTTTCTTTCTCAAATTCACTTTGTTTTTTGCCAAGCAGTTCGTGACATGAAGTAGTTCAAGCAAAATTCGAAGGCTTCAACTCATAAAAAGTTTAATTAAAGATAATGAGACTGAAATTTCATATAATCCTCATTCGATATTTTTTCCCCAAAAATATTTTTCATATATTAGTTACAATAAGAATTGAAATAAACAAATAAACAAATACAAGATACATAAATTATTGAAATACTTTTTAGTCAGTATTGATAAAATAAAGTCTGGAAATTATTAGAATTAAAAATTTAATAAGGATTTAGTAAAGAATTTAATTACAATCTTTCTGTTCTTGTCAATATGCAATCTCTCATTTATATTATCTTTTAATTAATATAAAAAAATTTTATCACACAGGAGCTGTCACTGCTCTGACGAGGAAGCAAGAGGCCGCCGAGCAAAGCCGCCGAAAGGTTGCTTCGGCAACGACGCCGAAGAAACAAGAGCCAGAGGAAGAATACGAGGATGACGAAGAACTCCTGGATCAATGTCCAGAACCCAATGGATATTTTCCAGATGCAGAACAATGCGATAAATATTACGACTGTCGAGACAGCAAAATAACGGAAAAATTGTGCCCTGACGGTCTCGTCTTCAATGATTTCAGCCCGCAACATGAGAAGTGCGATTTGCCATTTGGTATCGATTGTACAAAGAGACTCAAGCTACGTAAGGGAACTCCCTATTTCATCCTTTATAAATTATATATTATGATTCACGAAATAGATCAAATTGTTCGGAAAATATTATTTAAAACATTTTAACATGTGTGTGCATCTTTTGAATGATATACAAGTTTCGTAAAATTTATTTTACATAATGATTTGCTTTATAGTAAAAAATTTTATTTTTTCCATTTTTAGTTATTTCATTTTTATACATTTTTCCATCCGTTTATTGTAGAAAAACCACAACCATCACCACACTGTCCTCGCATGCACGGCTACTTCGCTCATGAGGACCCCAGGAATTGCAATACCTTCTACTACTGTGTGGAGGGCAAATTTAACATGATCACTTGTCCGGATGGTCTGGTTTTCTCCGAGAAGACCGGCATCTGCAATTGGCCGGACGAGGCACAGAAGAAGGGCTGTGGTTCCCGCGAACTCTTCAACTTCACCTGTCCGAAGGTCAACGAGTCGGTGGCCGCGACACATCCGCGTTATCCCGACACTGAAGATTGCCAATATTTCTACGTATGCGTCAACGGTGAGATACCGAGGCGAAGCGGATGCAAACTCGGCCAGGCGTTCGACGAACGCAGTGGAAAGTGCGACTGGGCCAGAAAAATACCCGAATGGTAAGAATTGTATAGCAAAACTTGGATTTTCTTATAAAGAAGCATAAAAATAGACAATATATATAACGACGTTTCATTCAAAAAATAAAAATAGGCAAAATTATATATTATAAATAATTATCGTTATCAATATAACAAAAATGATCTTTCTCACCCTTTTTGTAAAAATAATGTAGATCTTTTGTATAACAAAAGTACTTTTTTATAATTAACAAGTTTATAACATTCATATACGAGAAATATATACAGGGATTTCAAGTATTTTTAATAAAAAGTACGTTTAAATAAAAACATTAAGTTAAAATTGACAGAAGAATTTAATCAAATATATATTATAAAGATGAAAACGAATAATAAAATTTAGATCTCAATTTAAATTATTATACATAAAACTTGAAAAAGCCCAAAAATAGAGATTTCTTTTTATAAAAAAAAAAGAAGAAAAAGTTAATTTTTTAAATTTACGTATTCCTATTGCGTCAAATCTATCAAAAAATTAAGACAGTTTAATTTGATCAGTTGACGAAACTTCTTTATCGTCCCATTTATCATTAAATATATGTCTGAAGTGCAAATAATTTAATTACAGCATAGACTGGTATAAGGGTCAGTTGACTGACGAAGAATTAGACGCCTTAGAGAATCCACCACCCAAACCCAAACCTAGCGGTGGACCAAGCAGAAGAAAGGGCAACAGACCAACCATATAGAGTCAAAATTTTTTTAGATTAAGCATATAGGTTTTAAGTCTTTTTATTTTTAAACCGCTTTATTGTATAATAAACTTATCTTTACTACAAAACACACGTCTTTCAAAATATATTTCGTCGCAAATCCTATCTTGGAAATAATTTGCTTAGACGAATAATAAATTATGAACTTGGCTTTAAACAATTTAGAAAAAATAAACTATTAATTCCGAAGGAAATTATTTAAAGTCCTGACAACAAACTATTTTTACGTTTTCATTTAATAGCATTATATTATATTACTATTATTTTTTATTATTAACGTCTGTATATTAACATTTTTGATTTTTTTATTTTGACAGTCATACTATTTCCGTTTCTCACAAAATCGCGAGATTTTCTTAAAATCGAGAATCTGAACTCTTTCGCAATAAATTCAGATCGTGTGTTAAATTTGCTTGAGCGGTGAAAGTATTATGATATCGATTGACGCGTTCCTTGCATTTTATGGGAACCATTTCCGAAATCCAGCTCTAGCTAGTAATACTATCTAGTAATTTTCGTAAGCCTGAAGATCATGAGACAAAGATCATTTTACGTAAAAGAGAGACATATTAGAATGCCAAACTTCATGAAATAGCAAAAATCTCCACTAATCGTAATATTAAATTATTAATAAGCAATAAAAATAAATATATATAATATAATATAATAATACATTAGACGTCAATTAATGAATTAAAATTTATTTACTTTATTAACGGAAGTTATTAACTTAAAACTAAGTGAAATTTAAACGGATAAAGAATAAACTATGTATCAAATATTACAATTTTCGCTTTCCCGAAGAAAAAAACATCCGAAGACGTTGCTGAAGCGTAAATGAGAGCAAAATGGGAAGAGCATCATCGTACATGACGAAAAAAAGCTTGTAATTGATTCAATGTTGTGACTGCAATGAAATATAGTATTCTATCAAAGATCTTTAAACCTTATTTAAATAATTAAAATAAAAAAAAGTATATGTATTAGTACTTTTAATATATAATCATTTAATATACAATCATATAATAATATAATCAATAAGAAATATATTTACATTTCATATTAATACTGAAGTAATTCTAATTTTTTATTATATAATTTTATACCAAAGAAAGAAAAAGTAAATAAAAGATTATAAAAAGCAAACAAATAATTAAATCTGAGCACATTTAAAAAATATTTTATAGTCTTGAATATTTTATATTTTACAACACTTTTTTTTATATAAAATATTTTATAAGATATATATTGAAAAAAATACTTATGTATAAAATTTTGTTTTCTATTAACAAAAACAAATTTTTTAATTTAAAATTTGTATTTTAGTTTAATAGTTGACGATACAGAGATTCATATCTCAAGTTTGTTACTAATATTTTACTAAATAAATAAGAGAATACTATGACATTGGACAGTAACATTGTCGCAGAAATCAGTTTTTCAGAACAATCAAAGCGAGAGCGAAGGTGAATGTTAAACGACTTTTAAAAGAAGAAAGCCTAACAAAAAGCTCTCATTTCCTGGGAGTCAGTGATGCGTAATTTACTATTCTTCATTTGAAGTCGTTCGTTTAGAAATGCGGATAAATGATTCACCAAGACGTTAACGCTTTCTTAGGTTTTTAAAGTATTTGCTCTCTTTAGCTTTTCGATTTTTCCAAGCGTTACCAAATTTGTGAATATTTAATGAAAATAGTATTTAAAGAAGTGCAAAACCGTCTTTTTTATATTATTTTTATATTATAGTATTTAATTTTTTATTGCATCTTCTTTTTCTTAATTGTACATATATCTAATTCATAATTTCATTTCATTTCCTATATATTTCTATTTGCTTAATTGTATTTCATAGCGCAGTAAATGTCATACTGCTCATATTGAAAAATTAATTAAATCCTCTCAAATGAGAAAGACAATATACTTAAAATATTGGCGAAATTTCCTGGCATTTGCTCGTCATGGTAATTGCGAAGCAGCGCGATTGTGACGTGTATTTTTCTCATCACAGAAAAACGGAATGAAGGATATCGAAGTGAGAGGAGAGAGAAGAGTAAAAGTTTCCTCTCTTTCTCTCTCTTTCTCTCTCTTTCTCTCTCTTTCTCTTTCTTTGTCCGTGATCTATCTTTTCGATTTTCATTCTCGACGAGTGTCCGTCGATGAAAAGTGACGGCGAAAGTGGGATTTGCGTGAGGAAATAGTGGGGATTCGCAAGGTATACCCAGCCGACGAGTAGCCGAAGAGCTGCAGTTTCGCGAGGGCGACCTCGGGCCATTTCAAAGAAGGACTAAAAATTAAATAGCTTAATTTAGCCGTTTCCGCCCGTTTCAGTGAACCTTTGTGCGACCTAGGATCATCCTGCGACGGATCATCCGACAGGAAAGCACAAGCAAACCGGAAGAATGTTCACGACCGGAATCGTCACGCTGTTAAGCGCAATCGCGCTGACACGTAAGTATCGATTATTCGTTTAAAAAGATCAAAAAGAAATCAGAAATGATAGAAACGTTCTAAAGAACAGGTCTACAAAAAAAGTTCTCGTATAGTTAAAGATCTTTGAAAATGCTCTTTTGCAATATTAAAATTAATTACTGCTATTCTTAAAAAATTAATTATTAAATATCATATGATGAAAAATTAATTATTAAATATGACGTAAATATTATTATAAATTATTATATTTATTTTTAATAAAATTAATAAAATTAGTTATAATATTATCTACTCTAGACAAATTTAAATATAAATCGGATGTAAAATTTTGTAAAAAGAAGTAAAATAAAAATTTATTAATTATGTAAAAGAAGATACTAAATACGTCTTATAGATGCGTGCTTCGTTCTTTAAATTAACATTCTCTAAATTAACTTTACTAATTATAGTAAGAGAAAAATAAGAATATTTTATTTATCTTATTACATAAATATTTTATATCAATTATGAAATTAATATCATCGATATTGCAATATTACTTTACTTTCTAATTTTAATTATGTTTATATATGTAGTTAGACACAATTATATTGATTTTTTCTTTCAATTTGAATAACGTAGATTATATTCAAACCTTCAAAAATTTAAATACTTTTT